TTACCCATAGTTGAAGACTCTCCTCTAAGTTGATTTAGTATACAAAAATCTCCAATAATACCTTGTTGTTCCTCATATATACCATATTTTGCACCTAATTATTTTCCCTAAAGTTTCCATTTTTACACTATCTATCAACCTTTCGCTATTTTTTTCTCCAAGAGGTAAGACATTTTGTAGTTTAGAGAAAGTAAGAGACTTTCTTAAAAAGAAATATCTAATAATTTTAGCCTTAATGACGCTTTATACCTCTATATTTGACTATTTTACCATAACTTCTATCCTCCTGAGCTACTTGGATAGTAATAATTTTACCTTGTTCTCTTTGACATAAATAAATATATACGCTCTATTTTCTCTTTTTTTTTTACGTACGTGTATATCTCACCACTTCAAGAATTTGTATATTTCCCTCTTGTACTTTATGAGTTCTTTGTGAAAGTCCTCCTTCACTATGTTTCTTGACCTACGGAGAAATTATAGAATTATGCACCCCTTTATCTTTTCCCGTAGAACATATTCCCGTGGGGTTTAGTGCATATCAATACTTCCATTTGAAACTCTCTCGAATAGCTTGGTTAGTTTCCTCTGACAAGGCTTCAGAGCCTTTGACTTATAACCCCTCATAAATAATCTTTTATTTCCATGCTAGTTATTAGCTATTACTAACTCTTTTAAAGCAATACTCAATTTTTCTACTATTCTCATTTAACACCAGTTACAATGCTAAAATAACCAAATGTTAATATTACTTAAGTATCCTTAAACCCAACCTTCTGCATCATTTGAGATAATTCTTTCCTTAAATATTGTTACCTTTGGTTGAGCGATCTGCGACGATTTTGAATCTTTTAACAAACCTATTAACAAACCTATCACAGTTTCAACTGCAACCTCTTGGTTGCAAGCTCTTGATTTCTTTCTTGTCTAATGGCTTCTTTTTCGTATTTCATGTGGCAATTTCCAGCAGAACTTGCTTTTNACCATCTTCTTGAAAGTTGCCTTTTACACTCCTATTAGATGCTGGTATTTTCGTCGTCTAATTTCTTAATTTCTTTGTATCTCATGCTTTTAATTTTACGACTTTATACTAATTTTGCTCTTTTCCTCTTTTTGAAAGAGGTCTAATTTAGGTGTAAGCGCAAATTTGATCTTATTTTTGTTACTCAGAACTTTGCTCTACTTGATGTTACTGCAGTTACGTTACAGATATTTGGAATTATTGTTTTCTTCTGTTACGGCTTATTTTGTCTCTGGAGAGTTACTTGACAAAAGTACAATTTATGGTGGATTAATATTAATTCCATCTGTTTTATTTATAGCCTATTCAGAAAGTAAATTGATCACCAAGAAAAATAAGGAGTATTTTGTGATAGAGAAAAAAATAAAGTCCAATTTATATTGTTGTATTAATATGTTAATTTAAAATGAGAAAACTTATGGAAACTACTGATAAGCTTAATAATATTTATTTATGTGAGCCTAAAGTTGGCGATCGTCCGTTATGGGATCTGTTTCTAGAGATTTATGCTTATTCTACCTTAGTAACTGCACATATGATGAAGTTGTTTGCTATCTTGACAAAAAAACCACATACATTGGAGGAAGTTTGTAGTACATTGGATATTATTAAGACTCTTCCCGTAAAGCATTGCTTGCAGATGCGTTTAATTTAGGCTTTCTAAGGATAAAGGACGGGAGATGTTTGTGATGCCAGTAGTAAAGAAGTATCTTCCTAAAAGTAGCCCAAATACTTTGGATATTTTTGAGATGTGATGATTGATAACTACGAAATTTATTCACTTCCAGTCCTAAAAAAAGCAATATGCACTGATACAGCTCAGGTCTATGGTGGATGATTTATTTAAGTCGCACGAAGAAAACAATGAATTAGCACTAATGTACTAAAGCAATGCATAGTTTTAGTATGGAATCAATGTACAGGCTTGGCTAAAATTTATAAATCTATCAAATATCGTTTATTGCTTGATATGGTAGGAAAATCTTGAGCTCATAGTATCGGCGCAGTTTCAAAAAGGTTAGAGCTTTAAGTTACAATACTTAATCTAGCTCCAGTTTGTACTATTGCTCAGAGTTTGTAAATAAATATGCTTTATACGAACGCATTAATACCTATACAGGAGATATGTGGAATGATGACTTCCCTTTAGCAGATTTGCATTTACTACATCTCTACCATGACTGGACACCAGAAGATGCTTGTTTCTTGCCTAGAAAAGCTTTCCTTCTTAAAAAGGAAGGCGTATTATTGTTTATGAATTACTTCATAACAACAAAAAATGGATCATTTTCAGTATTAGGCTATATTATGTTAATATATCGCTATCGGAATAGACGAAAAGGCTTCAGATTGAGGTTTAATTTAATTCCTGGAATTTACAATTTTCTGTAATCAGCACTTTGAGATTGACGTTTTCCACTACAATCTTTTTTTTTGCAGCACCGTTGTCATTTACCCTTTCGATATTTAGCTCTTGCTATTCTTTGCACTTTTTGCCACCTTTGTAAATCCCTTTTCTCCGAACGGTTGCTAAAAGAGATATGGAAAGCTTAAAATAAGCAAAGAGCAATGGCTTTATACAAAAAAACAGATCCTAAAATGCTGGAAGAATGTTTAGAAAAAACACCCGGTTAACAGAGATAAAACAAAATCTTGTCGGCATTTAGCTAGACATTTATATTGCTGTTTACCCAAATCGACACAAAACCCTGAGAAATGCGTATCTTTACTTATCTAAATGCGTTATAAGCTAATGGAGCAAACTTGTGCTCCATTAGCAATATATTAGAAGCCT